GAACTGGATTTGAGTGATTTGCTAAGCTTGTGATGATTAGACTAAAATTTGATCTTGTGTTGGCTCTGTGGTATGTGGATTCGAAAGTGTTAATCAATGTGGTGTTCGTGATGTTTAGCTGACTGTTTCTGTTTTAAAACCTCGACACTGTTCTTTGTCTGATGTTTGCTTGTGGGCAAGCAAAAGCTAAGTCTGGAGGAGTTGATATATCATAGTTTTTATAGTTTTTAACCATGGTATAAGTCCTTTTTATTGAGTCTTTTTTGGTCTTTTTAGAGTCCTAGTAGAGTCTTTGCATGTTAAAGCATGTCTGGAGCATAATTAGAAGTTTTAGAGCTTTTTGGAGCATTGCAAGTTACAGCCCCGAAGTATACAACTAAGAAGCGTTGTTCTGGCTTTGGTGACGACCTTCACTGACCTGGTGACGCTCGTCACCCGTAGAGGAAGGATCGTGGCTTGTTTTTAAAAGATTGGGAAGAAATTGCAGTTTTGGCCCAGAAGTTTCAGTATTTGCAAAAAGGCCCCAGATCGTGTTTACCTTGTATATTAGGTTTTTCAGCCATTCTTTTTGCAGATATCTTGTATCTTATTCTTTTTGAGAGCTTTAGAGAGAGATTTGTAGCAGAGCTTTTGGAGAGACAAATCAGACTCCTTCAGAGCAGATTTCGAACTCCTTTATTTCTATTTCTTATTTCTATTATGCAATATATTCTTTTCATGATGTTTGTTTCATTCACCATGTCTGAGTATTTTGTTAGTTAAGTTAGGGCTTTTCAAAGGTTGATGAAGAGTTTTTTGAATTGCTATATGTTAAGAATATCTTTTGGTTCTTCATCTTTGCTTGCTTTAAAACCGATTTCTTAGACACATCATCTAGAAATCCTAAAATCATAGGTTGTTTAATAGATGTGAGAGCATTATTGATAACCTGACCTAGCATTAGATGAGCAAAACGATTTAGTGCAAAGAGATTTGGCTTAGGAGTATTGTGAACAATTGAACTTGCTCATTACTGCATGTTTAGATTGTTAGAGTTTGCAAAGAGATTTGAAACTCTGTGATTTAAACATAGTTAACTTCTGCAATGAGAACTGATTAGTTATATTTTGCGATTCATGTTCAAGACGGTTCTTATTCATCTCTGATTTCATGCATTTTATATTCTCGGATTCAACTTGCGAATTGCCCTGACTTAGCGCTTTTAGTTTTCTGAGTCTTAGATCAAACAAATTTCGCCTGCTTACTTTTACTTTGTTACTTTGCATTACATACGCTATTTATTTCTTAGCTTAATCTAAACATATAATCGATAGTGTAGTTTACATACTCCTTTGGGATTCGATACCCCTTATACTACAATTGCATTGCTGTGCACTTGCAATTATTTTATTTGGGTAAAACCTGAGCCATATCATGCTGTTACCGCTAAACACCCAGATAGCACTTGCCACATGAAATATTTTAACTTTGGTGGACATTTAATAGTCCATACCTTTGCCGGTAGATGACTTACATCTGGCCCAAATATCCTTGCGGGTTCCATATATGGGTATATCTGTTCTGTTAGATATCTCGATTTGACAGTATATCTCCCTTTCTTAGTAAAATTCCAGCCCCAATGATCCCGACGATTTCGTGTTGTTGCCAATCCCGTAATCAAAGGAATGTCCTCTGAACTTATCAGTTGTTCCAATAGTGGAATATTCCACGTTGCGGTTTTAAGGTCAATTAGTTGATTGAATCTAAGCTCAGGATAATAATTAAACCCTTTGCATGTGGCTGATCTCGGGCGTGAGGAAGGTATCCATGGATCATTCCATACTGAAATGGAGTGTCCTGATCCAACTCTTTTGATAAGCCCTTTTTGTACCAAAGATCTAGCTGTTATGATAGTCTTCCATCCAACAGACAGAGAGTATGACCTTATCGGGTCTAGGGGTGTTCCATCCCTAAAATATCTCCCTTTGAACACCCTTGTAAATAGCGAATCTGGATATTCAATGAGCCGCCATAATTGTTTTTCCAGAAGAGCCGTATTAACATCCTCCACCACTCGAAACCCCAGTCCCCCTTCTGCTTTCGATTTGCAAAGTTTTTGCCACGCCATCCAATGCATTCCACGTGTTTGTCCGTTTTTACTCCATAAAAATTTGGCTGCCAAACTTGTTAATTTTGACGTAATAGATTTTGGTAATCTGAAGCAGGATATAATATATGTCGGAACTGCTGTGAGAACTGATTTAATAAGCACCTCTTTCCCTCCTCTAGATAACATCTTTGCTGTCCAGCCATTTGCCCGTTTTTGTTGTTTTTCCAAAATAAAATTAAAAACTTTCCAGAATATGAGCTCATTCCCCCTATGTTGGCAATACCTAGCGTGTTATGTAAGAGTTCCCGTGTCGCCGGTGAGACCTTTTGTCCAAATTGTACTGATGATTTCGTAAAATTTATTTGTTGATCCAGAGTTGCCTCATATTGCTGTAAGATATGTAGCAGTACCATCGCTTCAGATTGCGTTGCCTTACAAAAGAATAAGCTATCATCCGCAAAGAACAGCTGAGATACTGACGGACTCGCCCGAGCAATCTTTATGCCCGTAAGTAGCATATCCTTCTATACTCTCTTCACATTAGCTATTAACACTTCCGTACAAAGAATAGACAGATAAGGGGATAGAGGATCCCCTTGTCTAAGTCCCCTCTTTGGTTGCACATTTCCTCTTGCTCTTCCATTGATTAGTATTTTGTACTGAACGGATTCAGTACAGCACATAATCCAATTGATCTATTTCTCTACGAAACCTAATTCTTTTAGTAGGTGTCTAAGGAAGGACCATTCCACCCGATCATAAGCCTTACTCATATCCGTTTTGACCACCATGAAATGTTTCTTACACAGATTATTTGTTCTCAACCCATGGAACATCTTCTGTGCTATTAGAATATTATCCGATATGAGCCTCCCTGACACAAAGGCCAATTGTGTTTCTGATACCAATCTTGGTAATAATTTCCGTAATCATTGACAGAAGACTTTGGATATTATCTTGTACCCTACATTACAAAGACTTATGGGCCGTAACTCTGTCATCCTGGTTGGTTTATCTGTTTTTGGAATCAGACATATATTTGTCAGATTAATTCGCTTATCAAAATTCCCGGATTCAAAAAACCGATTCACTTGGTCTACAACGTCACCTTTAATGATATCTCAAGATTTCTGAAAAAATAATGTAGTCAAACCATCCGGGCTCGGGGCCTTTATAGGATGCATTAAAAATAAAGCCTCTTTTACCTCCATCTTCGTTGCCGGCTTTGTAAGCTCCTCGTTTTCCTATTCCGTTATTTCTGAATCTATTTCGCCCAGAACATCCTCAAACTCTGTTGGTGATGTGGACTTAAAAAGTTTTGAGAAATATTCTACTGCAACTTTCTCTACATGTTTTTCCCTAGTTACCCAGGTGTCATGATTATCATGTAATCCGACTAGCCTATTAACTGTCCACTTTTTTTTGTAATGGCATGGTAATATTTTGTATTAAGATCCCCACATCTATTCCAGAGATTCCGGCTCTTCTGTTGCCAGTATTCTTCCTCCTCCCGATATGCTTCCGAAGCTTTTGAGTAATCTCGTTGAGCTCTGTTTGGATATACGTATCATCTGTCTGCATCTCTTCCAGTTGTTGTTGTAGTTATTCAATCTTAACTATGCCAAAAGGTTTGCAGTTTTGGCGCCATTTAGAAATTTTGTGTCTACAAGTAACTATCCTGTCTACCAAAGAATGACATGGTTGAACAACATGTCCCTGCCAGCCTCATGTTATGGCGTCCATTATTCTCTCCTGTCCAATCCATCTCTTATCAAACCGAAATTGATTCTTCCGTCTAATATTTCTTGATTCAATTGTTGCTATAATAGGCCGGTGATCTGAACCAATCATTCTCAAATATTCCACATATGAGTATGTATATAGGTCATGCCACTCCTCCGTTGCAAGTCCTCTGTTCAATCTACATTGGACATTTTGCCCATTCCGTCTACCCTTCCATGGCAATGTATTACCCCGATTTGGAAAATCAATTACTAATAATTGGATTAAACCCAATAAAGGACGACGGTTGTCTAACTGCTCCTCCTATTTTTCATGGTTTCCCGTAATTTCATTAAAGTCGCCAATTTAGAACCATGCTCCATTCCTTATTAATCTTGTTCTTGTTATCCGTTTTCAAACTTGAACCCTTAAATTCTGAACTGGGTCGCCATATACGAAGGACATATAAATTAAATTTCCTTCAAAAGAGGCCTCTATATCAATAATCTTTTTATTAGAAAATAAAACTTTAACATCAAAGTTTTTACTATCAACAATGTCAGCCCTCCACTGGCACCATACGAATCAACCATAAACAATAAATCATAACCAAAATGCAATTGAAATTGCTCAACAAAATTAAAACACTGCTTTGTTTCAGACAGAAAAAGAAAATCCGGTCTAAATTTTTGCCAAAACTCTCTGAGATAGCTTATTGTGTACCTGTTCTCCAGACCCTGGCAATTCCAGCTTAAAATCCGCATTAAACTTTATAATTTTCACCCCGCCCCTCCATCGGAGCCTCTCCCTTCCTCTGTTGCACCACCCCCTTCTCTCCACCACGCTTTATCTCCTTTAAAATCCCTTTCTTCTTTGGTGTGGTAGCATGCATTATCTTCCTCGACCCCCCTCCCACAACGAATGATGATTTAAATAGTCTCTTCTCTGCTCCTGCTTTTGCCGGTGGTTTCATCCTCTCAGTGGGGATATTGTCGTCACGTTCAGTTCCCAAAGGCGGTTCCCCTTGATCAAGATATAGAGCCTCGATTTCAATACTGTCAAAACCCGGGGGTTGAGCTGCACCTTCTTCCTCTAATATATCCTCTAAATCAGTGATATCAAAATCACCAAAAATATTATCCATAAGCCCCTCTTGGTCAGAGCCAAAATCAACGATTTGATCAACTTATGCTCTGCCGCCCTCCTCCTCTTGAACCCCTGCCTCTGCTTCTGCCATAACTGCTTTCTCAGATTCTTCCATGACAACTTGATTAATCCTGGTATTCAAATCATCCATTGTCATAGTGTTGTCCTCTAACATTAAGCCTTTTCTAACCTTCTTGGCAGAATGTTGAGGAGGGCTGTCTTTATCGTTTCCCCCATGCTTGTTCTCTGTCCCTTCCTCTGTTTTATCCTTAATGCTGGTTAGCCCAGAAGAATGATCCTCTTTAGACCGGTGGATGTTTCTGGAAGTTCCACCAAACCGCTTACTGTCCTCTCTCGGTGGCAAAGGTCTGGAAAATCTCCTCAATGAATCGCCATTCACCTTTTGTTGTACCCCTCCTGATCGAGGGAGTCTCTGCTCCTCTCGGTTCTCCGTTAACACACCCTTCCCTCTGGAGGATTCTTCCAGCGGTTTTTCCTGATCTGTGATATCCTTCGTTCTCTCTCCCGTACCCCGAAGTGCTCCCTTATAGCTATTTCCTCCCCCTTCTGGTTTCTCCTCTGAATACCGCATCACATCTCTTCGTTCCCTCTTTGGTAACAAAGTGGGACATCCACTGGATTCATGGCAGAGGCTCCGGCATTCCCTGCAGTATACATGCAATCGCTCATACCTCAGAATCACAGTAGTCTCTTCGCCGCTGTGGAATTCCATTGTTGTCTCGAAGATTATTGGTTTGAACCCGTCAATGGCTATTTGTACCCTTCCTCCATCCAAGTCCACTTGCTTCACTGTCCCAATGGCTTGTCCAATACTAGAGAATGTATGCTCAGCCCAGAAGTGGAGGGGGACTCCCATCATTCGGACCCAAAAGATGATCACTGACAGGTGATACAAGGGTTTTTTACTCTCTTATGTCAATCACCCATTGTACTAGTCAGTTGTAGTATGGGTTTTAATGTCAGTCCAATTGGGATTAGTTGAAAATAGAAGAGCTAAGAGTGAAATCTCTAAGTCAAGCAAGCAGGAAAAGGTTTTTGTTTCCTAGGCAACTGTTCTAACACCCTAGTGTGATCAATCAACAAAGAAAGTGAAAACAAAAGAAAACTAAGCAGATTTAAGCAAGAAAAACAGAGCAAAACAGCAAATCCGAGATTCAAATAAGAGAAAGGCAAGTTCCTAGATGTGGTTATTGACTTTGGGGAATTTCAGACATTAACTAAGGTTGTTTCAAACTATATTGAACAAGCAAACAAGCAAGCAATGGTGATTCCTTGACATAGAGTTCACAATCAAGCAAACTAAATCCAATCTCTTGGCAAATAGTCCTTTGCTAAACATCTTAACAAGAAACTCTCATTAGTGCTAAAACATTAAGCAAGCAATATTAAACAACTCTATTCAAGTCAAAATGCTCCTCAAACAGTCAATCTCTTGAGCCAAAGCCAGCAAATCCTCTATTAAACAAGATCAGCATTTCATCAAACACTTGGTGGGCATAAGAGAAAGCTAACAACCTAGATGAGTTTGATCAAGACCAATCTAGCATTAATAACAGATTAATAAAGAGGAACCATAAACTGAAGTACTTAACAAGCTCTAATCAAGTCTTAAATTCCCCTAATCTAGCACATCTAGAAACTCTAAGCAAACTACTCACTCATACTCATGTTTAACACCAAATCACAAAGAAAAAGGATGTTAATCATGATTAGAAGAGAGAATAAAGAAAGATTAAAGGCAAATACTCAAATATATTAAACAAAGCAAAGGATTTATCTTACAAACTTAAAGAAAATGCTTAAGAACAGTAAATTGACAAGATATGTCGAAAATTTGGAAAAAGAGGCTATTTATAGCCTAGAGAAGGAAGCCCTAGAGTAATGGCAAAAGTGTAATTAAAAACAGGTTCGGACTGGGTTTACATCGGTCAGTTACACCGGTCACTCGTGGTCGATGTAGATCCATCGGTCTGGCAGTGGTCGATGTAGGTGACCGAAATTCATTCGCTGTGTTTGTGTCGATCACTCCTGGCCGATGCTGGTGATCGATGAGCCTATATCGGTCACCCATGGTCGATGCTGGTGACCGAAAATCTGGTATCGGTCACCCCTTGACCGATGTTCACCGTGCTCTGACCGAAAATCTTTGAAGAGATTGTCTGCTTTGATCCTTCTTGCTCCCTTTGATCCAGCTAGCATCCTGAATCATCCCCTAAGCTCTTCCAAGCTTCTTTTAGCTCCTAAAGCACCTAAAAACATCCAAAATGCAAGGAAAATGCAAACTATACCCTAAATGCAACCTAAGTCTAAAAGGAGAAGAAAATGGGGCAAAAACTAAGGGAAAACATGCAAAAGAAAACCAAAACATGTACTAAATGCAGTCATAAGTGGTGTAAATACAAGGGATCAACACCCCCACACTTGCCTTTTGCTTGTCCTCAAGCAATTAAGAACAAATGGGAGAGTGAGGTTTAAAAATGGGCATTCAGATTCCAAAAATGCAAAGGTAAAGAGATGGTATCAATGCTTAAGTGCCTAGTTGTAGGATGCAAACATAATCAGATATACTTTAAAGAACCTAGCCATGCTCATCATGTTTCAAAATGATCTCAAATCTCAACTTATGCAAATGCTCAAATCAATCAACTCTTTAACATTCAATTAAGATCAGAACATGAATCATGCTTAAGCACATCAAGTGAAGACATTTGGTTAAAAGGGTAAGGTCATGAGATAAAAATGATCTCATTTTAGCAAAGGGTTATTAATCAAAAGGGATCACTCAATGAAAAGGACTTCATCTTATGCAAAATGCTAAAGGTAAAAGCACACTTATGCATGCAAATCAAAGCTCCCTTCTACCCAAAGATGAATCCTAAGTACTTCTAATCCCAAAAGTGAACCCTCTAAGTCTACCCTTTCCTAAACTCTACCCTTTACCCTTCTTCATGGCTAGGGAAACTTCTTCTTTTTGCTTGTGTGGTTGCTTCTTTTTGGTTGGGACTTGCTCTTCTTTGTTGTATTGGCAGCTTCATCACATTTGGTGGATTGCTCCTGGTCTGATTTTTCTTCTTTGGACCCTTTCTGAGCTTTGTTGCTGGCGCCTTTCTTCTTTGTACTTAGAGCTTTTCTTCCCTTTACTTAACCACAATTCTAGACTCTTTCCCCTTTTCTACCATTTCAAATCTTTTTCCTTTCTTTTAAAACATATAAACATGAAGTTCAAAACCACTTATACTACCCTTTTAAACCCCAAAACTCCTATCCTAGAATCAAGCTCAAGATGCAAGCGGATATCTACAAGAGAGCTAATCATTGCCAGCCTTATTCCTAACACTTTTTGCCAAGACAAAATCGAAAATGCAATGCAAATGCCTCACAGCTCTCACAATAGTGTTTAGGCTCAAAAGGAGGTTTTGGTTAAGGGTGAGGATGTAACTGTCCCATAAGTATGAGGATCAGCTATTTAGATCAACAAGAGTGGTAGAAAGGAAAAAGATGATCCAAATATGTATATGGTAGCCATGAATTCACTTTTCAATGCATAAGACATGATAATTAAAATTCCAAATTAAAGTTCAAGTTGATAGAGTTGATTTTCAGAGAACAAATGCTTTCAGAATGAGATGAGAAGACCAAATCTAGCAATCTAAGCATGGTTCAGCCTTAACTTCTAGCAATCATATGATGCATCAAACAACTAAGCACTTAAACACTGAAATCATCTCTAAACACTAAGCACTTTACAAGGAAAATTCATCATAATTCCCTATGCAAATGCAATGTAACCTATATGTCAACACTAGACTCAATCTTAGAAGAATGAAATACAACTACATGTTTACTTTTTGGTTTGCAAAAATACAAATTTTTTCAAATTTTTCGATTTGTTTTTTGTGTTTTTCTATGCCTTACATGAATGCATGATATGCATGAGACTCAATGTAAAAAGGAAAAGAAAAACTAAGAAAACAGAACACAAAGTCAAACCCCAAATCCCTCCCCCACACTTAAATTACACAGTCTCTTGTGTAATGAAAGCAATGAGAGAGAGAAACACAAAATATAATACAAAACTAAAAAGATGCAATGGTATAAACAGTGGAGAAGATGTGGTACTTGGTTCAGTGGTAGGAGTGGTGGGATGATCCTGAGGTTTGAGGAGATTTGCTAGCTCTCCTCTTGGTTTTCCTCTCATAAACTTTTGTAGAATGCTCTGCTTCTTGAGGTGGTTGAACCCAGCTTGACCATAGCTGCTCTGCTTGAGAAGAATTCCCTTGTTGACCCCATTGCCATGTCTCCTGAACTGAAGAGGGAGTGGGAGTTGGTTCCCAAGCTGATGGTACATGGGTGCTTGGCTCATAATATGAAGTTCTTGGTTGTGCCCATATCCCCCATTGATCACTTGGCTGTGCATGGAAAGAGTGTCTTCCATGAGGGTTCCAAACAGCTTCCTCCTCTTCATTTGGCTCATCTTGATGTGCTTGCTCTTCTTGGTGTGGTGTATGCTCTTGAGAGTGGCTTTGGTGGGAAGTTCTTGTTGTGTTGCTTTGTCTTTCTTGAACTTCCTCCTAACCATTTTCATCAATCCCTTAATGGCTTTGTCTTGCCATTTACACCACTTCTGGAGAGAGTTGATGTGCTCATGACCTATCTTCAAAGAGCCTCCATGGTTGGGTGCTTCATAGGGTTTGAAGTGGAACTGCCTTGAACTGTAGCTCAACACTTCTTCTTCTTCAAGCTCATCTTCTTCATATGTTCTTCCTTGGCCTTCAGCGCCAGCAGTAGCATTCCATTAGTGATCTTCTCCTTCTTCTTCTCCAATCTCTTCAGTGTTTCCCTCCTCACTGTCTTCTTCACTCTCTCCAGGGATATGGCCGCCTGTGTAGAGCTCTTCCTCACTCAGATTGAAGCAGATGTTGCTTCTTTTGGTGAAAGAAGTGAGTCTTGGATTATGGAGGAGGACTTTCACTGGCTTATTGAAGTCTTTGATGAAGCTGTATACATGCTTGTCATCAGTGCTCTTCTCCAGGAAGTGGCTCCTCTTGAGATAGGCCATGTCAATCCACTGTGGTTCCAGGGTATCATCCTCATACTCATCAAGGTTGACTCCACTAGCCAGAAGAATGGCTGTGACGACTCCCCCAATATGAATCTGTGGGTTTCTCCCATCTTTCACCTTGCTCATAATCCAGCTTTGGTAGGAGTAGAGCTGTGTCATCAGCATGGTCACATAGCAAGCATCTTCTTCTGGCGCCATGAGAGGTCTCCCTTCTGTGCCTGTCCGCACAATATCATACACCTCTTTGTAGATCAGGTCCATCTCCTTGCTGGTGAGATATGTTGTTTCCTTTCTTGCAAAGAGTGTGTTTGCAAGTGCCTTGTGGGCATATCTCACAGCAGGGTGTCTGAGGTGCTGGTTCCTTGTTGTTCTAGCAATGTATTGCCCAGTCCCCACAGCAGTCCACAGCCTTGCGTGCTGCTTCCGGGTAATGGAGAGATGACCTCGCTTGTTGGTGTATGATCTGAGACCAAGAGCTGCAGCGATGGTGAGGAAGGTAGAGGTGAACTTCTGCTTTCCGATTTGGAAGGAGATCCACCCATCTCCATTAGAGAGCTCACTGTCCTCATACCAGACCACTTGGAGAGTGGAAAGAAACTGGTAGGTGAGTTCTCGATATAACTGGAATGGGTCTGTCATGAGGACTTCAAGTTCCATGTTCTGAAACACTTTCGTGCAGTCACTGTAGATCCCTAGTGCTTTCATTGTACTAGCACAAGGGTATCTTGTTGGCTTGAAGATGCACTGGTTGAAAGCCTCCATGAGTTTCCTAGCATCTGGCTCGTTGAAGCAAACCTCTTCCTCCACAGTTCTGCCTCTCTCATTCCGCTTGGCGCTTCTCTCTTCAACTGGTCTTTTGCCAGCAGCCTTCGATGATGTCTCAGCGGTAACAATCTTCCCCTTGTCCTTGCTTGCTCGTGGTAAAGCTGGAGCTCCCTGCTGTTGTGCTTTTCCCTTTTTCCCAGCAGCTACGTTTGTTCTCCCCATGGTACCTTCAAAGATAAAGCTTTAAAACAGAGTAAGTGAAAGAACAAAAGCTGAAGAACCTAATAACTGAAAGCTTTAAAAGAGAACTCTCTAAGCCAAGAAAAGTCAAACAAGTCTTAACAAAAAGATTAAACTTCTAAAAAGCAAGAAAAGATCAAAAGCTAGCAGTTTATATAAGCTAGAATGCACAAAAAATAAACAATTATGCATGCACATCTAGCTAAAGCAGTTCTTAGACAAAAGAAGAGATGATCTTGCACATGGATGAGAACAAGCAAGTAATGAGATTAATGCAAATTTAAGAAAAGCTTCAACATCTAACTTGCTTTTCCTAAACAAATCCTCAATGCAAAACCAAAGCACAACACTTAAAACTAATCAACACTTGCTCTTGAAAACATGTACTAAGCGATTATGAACATATGCAAAGCTTAAGAGCAAAGGAATGATAGTTTAGGAAAAAACCCTTTGTGGAACCTCTGAGCACTTAGAGAAAGCAATAAAAGAGATAGAGAACTAATATTTTCGTGCTTTAGGTGAGAAGATAAGTGAAATGAAGTGTGAAGAGAAGTGAAGAAGTTGTTGCTTTAAATAGAGAGAAGGAGAGGGAACCAAAGAAATCAATGGTTGGTGAGGGAACAAGAGGAATCAAAAGTGTGGGGGATAAAAACAAAAGTGCTCAGAAGTCATGAAAGAGGTCAGGAAGGATCCAATGTTAAATTTTTTAAACTCCCTTGGCTCCAAACTAAAGTAGGGAATTTGTTTTGAAAATTGAAGTGTTTACCTCGGGTGGAACATCGGTCACAAATGACTGATGTTACTGACCGAAAAGTCAGTATCGATCATAGGTGATCGATGTTAGTGACCAATGTGCTTCCTAGGGACAACATCGGTCATCACATGATCGATGTACTCGACCAAAATTCATCCGGCATGTTTATGTCGGTCTGTGTATGACCGATGTTAGTGACCGATGTGTTTCCAGAGAATTACATCGATCACCAACTGATCGATACACTGGACCAAAATTCATCCGGTGAGTTTACATCAATCAAGGTTGACCGATGTGGATGACCGAAATGTGTCCCTCTTTCAAACTCCTTTCCACATCGATCACATGTGATCGATGTGTTGACTGGTGTAGACTGGCTCTACTGACATCGATCAATCATGGCCGATATTTATGACCGAAAATGTGTATCGGTCTTGTCATGACCGATACAGTTGACCGATGTCAGCCAGAAAACACCTGTTCTTTGTCCCCTTCATACCCATGTTCCCTTTGATAGTTGCTTGTGTTTCTCATGAGCCAACATCCTATGCCTTTTATTCTTGACATTTGGTGTGGCTGAAGGTGTCACTTCCTTGGCTGTTGAGTTGTCAATATCCTTCAATCTTTCCTCAAGCTTCAACTCGGTATTCTGATTCTTGTTTGGTTCAGTAGACAAAGCATCACTCATCAACATGCTCATAGTGAGGTTCATAGCATCCTCCAAACTATCTGGGAGCTTCCAGTAGTAATCCTCTTGCTCAGTTGCTCCACAAAAAGCTATGGAAGGAGAATCAATCTTGTAGACTTTGAACTCATCAACATTCTTCAAAATTACTGAACCTCTCTTGAAGTCTAACTGAGCTCCTGCTGTTGCCAAGAATGGAGTGCCTAGAAGAAGTGGCACCTCTCTGGAATATGTTTTCTCCATGACCACAAAGTCTGTTGGCACTAGGCATTCTCCAATCTTCAAAGGGTAGTCTTTCACCATGCCCAAAGGTCTTGTGGAAGTGTTGTCCACAAAAGTGATAGAAGTCCTGGATGGCAGCAGTTTCTTGATCCCCAGAGTTTGGCTCAGATGGAGAGACATGACATTGACAGTTGATCCTGAATCACATAGGGCTTTGACATTGTCAAGCATCTCCAGCTCACAAGTGATGAGGAACTTTCTAGGGTCTGTGATTTTTGGCAATGACTTCATCATCTTGCTACTTTTCATGTGAGCCCCCACATTCTCAAGGATTGGTTCCACCACTTCCAGCTTGTCAAAAACTTCTTTCAGGAACCTAATTTGATGTTTCACTTCTAGCAAAGTAGTGCCATGTGGGAGTTGTATTCCAGCATCTTGTATGTCTTGCTTGAACTTTGTGTACATCTCCATTCTAGCTTTTGTGAAATGCATTGTGGGGTAGGAGACTGGTGGTTTGCAGTCCTGAGCTGAAATTTCTTTACTCTTTTCAGTAGTGGTTGAAGAGTTGCCCACTTGGTGATGGAAAAGCTCTCTGGAGTCTTGAGGAGTGTTGTTAGATAAGACCATCAAAGCATGGTGTGTCTCAAGTGGTTCTTCATCAGCATCAGTGTGTTTTGGTGTGGCGGCTTCTTCAGCAGCAGCAAGGGTTTTCTCAGCCTCCTCTTTCTGAGCAGCTTCCAGTGCTGCTCTTTCCTGTTCTTCTTCTCTGTTCAAGCTTTCATCAAATCCATGGAGGAACTTCCCTACAACTTCCTGAGCTTCTTCATCAGTGATGTTACTACCTCTGACTTCTCATCCATACTCAACCCTCATCCTGTCTATATGTAATATCATTTCTTGGATCATGATGCCTAGCTCTTCCAATAAAGCATCTTCATCAGTGAATTCCTCTTCTGCTTCCTCTGCCTCTTCAGTGAGAAAGTGGCCGAATTCCTGAGGTTTGTGTGCAGCTTGTCTAGGAAGAGTGTCCTGAAGTCTTGGTGTTTGAGCATCATCTTGGCTGTTCTCCAAGAGATATATCCTTGAGTCCAGGTCATCAAACTTGGCATGAACGTCATTATGAACATAATCAGGAAATCTCTTGTTCATCTCCATAGTTCCAATAGTCTAGAGATTGATGTTGACCATGATCATGCTCCTAATGTCAGCTGATCCAGATGTATGAATATAGGGTTGGTCTTGAGTGTGGGAAGGAGTGTAGCTCTCTTCAAAGTAATGCATAGGTAGAGGCTCTTGGCAGAAGTTGCTGTAAGTAGTGTCTTCAAAGTACAACATCTTGATATTTGTTGTAGCTCTCCTGAAACGACAACACTTGAAAAGTAGTGAGTGACCAGATAAAACTAAAAACTTTATCTTAAAGATTCTACAAACTCTAATGATTCAAACTTAGATCCCAAATGGCAACGGCGCCAAATTGATACAAGGGTTTTTTACTCTCTTATGTCAATCATCCATTGTACTAGTCAGTTGTAGTATGGGTTTTAATGTCAATCCAATTGGGGTTAGTTGAAAACAGAAGAGCTAAGAGTGAAATCTCTAAGTCAAGCAAGCAGGAAAAAGTTTTTGTTGCCTAGGCAACTGTTCTAACACCCTAGTGTGATCAATCAACAAAGAAAGTGAAAACAAAAGCAAACTAAGCAGATTTAGGCAAGAAAAACAGAGCAAAACAGAGCAAATTCGAGATTCAAATAAGAGAAAGGCAAGTTCCTAGATGTGGTTATTGACTTTGGGGAATTTCAGAAACTAACTAAGGCTGTTTCAAACTACATTGATCAAGCAAACAAGCAAGCAATGGTGATTCCTAGACATAGAGTTCACAATCAAGCAAGCTAGATCCAATCGCTTGGCAAATAGCCCTTTGCTAAACATCTTAACAAGAACTAACTCTCATTAGTGCTAAAACATCAAGCAAGCAATACTAAACAACTCTATTCAAGTCAAAATGCTCCTCAAACAGTCAATCTCTTGAGCCAAGGCCAGCAATTCCTCTATTAAACAAGATCAGCATTTCATCAAACACTTGGTGGGCATAAGAGAAAGTTAACAACCTAGATGAGTTTGATCAAGACTAATCTAGCATTAATAACAGATTAATAGAGAGAAACCCATAAACTGAAGCACTTAACAAGCCCTAATCAAGTCTTAAATTTTCCCTAATCTACCACATCTAGAAACTCTAAGCAAACTACTCACTAATACTCATGTTTAACACCAAATCACAAAGGAAAAGGATGTTAATCATGATTAGAAGAGAGAATAAAGAAAGATTAAAAGGCAAATACTCAAATATATTAAACAAAGCAAATGATTTTTCTTACAAACTTAAAGAAAATGCTTAAGAATAGTAAATTGACAAGACATGTCGAAAATCTTGAAAAAGAGGCTATTTATATCCTAGACAAGGAAGCCCTAGATTAATGGCAAAAGTGTAATTAAAAACAGGTTCGGACTGGGTTTACATCGGTCAGTTACATCGGTCACTCGTGGTCGATGTAGATCCCATCGGTCTGGCAGTGGTCGATGTAGGTGACCGAAATTCATTCGCTGTGCTTGTGTCGATCACTCCTGGCTGATGCTGGTGATCGATGCGCCTGTATCGGTCACCCATGGTCGATGCTGGTGACCGAAAATCTGGTATCGGTCACCCCTTGACCGATGTTCACCATGCTCTGACTGAAAACCTTTGCATAGATTGTCTGCTTTGATCCTTCTTGCTCTCTTTGATCCAGCTAGCATCCTCAATCATCCCCTAAGCTCTTCCAAGCTCCTTTTAGCTCCAAAAGCACCTAAAAACATCCAAAATACAAGGAAAATGCAAACTATACCCTAAATGCAACCTAAGTCTAAAAGGAGAAGAAAATGGGGCAAAAACTAAGGGAAAACATGCAAAAGAGAACCAAAACATGTACTAAATGCAGTCTTAAATGGTGTAAATACAAGGGATATCAACAGGTAGTTAAGCTCCATAATTGGCTCTCATCGTACAAGTGCCATCATCCATCCATTGAAATGAAACGGTCCCATTTGTAAAACCCCCTGGATATCTTCCTCATCAACAAAATCGAACTGGAACCTCCCCATTCGAAGATCTGCTCCCGCCACACGCTCTTCAACCTTCCAGATTCTCGGTAGCATGAATAGTAGCGCCTTCATCTCCTGAACCGTCAGATTCATACAATGGACAATGAGAGTGCAATTGCAACCCTTGATGAGCTCTGTGTTATCGAAATAGGGGACGGTGATCTTTAACCTTGGCGCTAAAGTTTCCTTTCTTTTGCTTGAACCTCCCAGAACCAGTTGATTTGCTTGAGCCATCACTAAGCCTGAGAACTCAGATTTGAGAAATGCTCGTAAGAAAAAGAAAAGAGCGAAGTGAGGAAAGTGTGAGTATACAATCCACTCTATGACATCCCTTATAATATTCCCATCGTCAACTACAATCCCATATAAAGCAACCGATATTAATTCCAGATGATAACCAAAGTATTTGCCATATAAGACACCAATCAGTGCGCATAGTATCCACAAGAATCTCATTACCTCGATCAAAGACTATCCTTCTTTAACCCTGTGATCTCCCATTAATGCAGAAAAAGCAAAAATCCCCAAAGGTCCTAATTCTCCAATCTCCAGTCGTTGAATCTGTAACATGCGGATCAGATTATGTTTCCTTAAGTCACCTCTTCTCGGAAACATATACCAGTATCCCATGAATCCTCCCGAGATCCTAGTATCCAAAAAAACTCCGTTAATTTTTGCTAATCGAAGACTACTGATCTGAACCTTGATTTCCAGCGTTATGGAGTTTGATTTATTCCTGAAATAGTAATTGAGATAAAAACATGACCTAAAAATATAGCTTTCCGTTTTTAATCCCTTTTCGGGTCCGAGATTTCTGATTTCATGTATTCACCCAAATCCCGTATCTTGCCCAAAGCCAGATCATCGACATGTTATAAATTCCCAACCCATCTCCTCGCCCACGTGTAATTTGATTTGTCCCCGGAAAGAATCGGATCCTCCTAAGCAAGATTCTGTAGGATCCCAACCCTGATCTCCAGATTTTGGAAAGCCCGAGTGACTCCCATAAATTAAGCAAAAGCCTCATCGTTTCCTTCCAGATTGCATTGTGATTCTCCTTACCATTAGATCATTCAATCCAACAAATTCCGATTGATCCTCTCAAAAGATTTACCATAGATCCTTGAGAATCCTAGGGCTCGGTGTGAATTGCTATTTTTAATATATAATAGAAAAAAAACATAATCATAATTTTTTACTTACAATGTTATCTTCTGATGCACCACTTGGATGCATGTTCTCCACTTGGATCACACAATTCTTTAAGCTTCTAACAGCATAAAGCATGGTACCCATCCTACCTTCTAGACATCCGTCACTTCTACTTTCCCAACTTTCAAGTTTTTTTTTCATCGTAACTTATTTTTATTTTTTTCCATAAGTTTCCCAAACTTTGGATATGACTATCAATTGGATCTTGTGATATCTCTAAATAGACAGTACATAATATCTCATCTTCTTGTTGAGAAAATGATGATCCCCTATGTGTTGTTTCGGTCCAATAGTTGCCTTTATCCTTATCTTTGAAGAAGAAGAAGAAGAAGGCGTTTGGTTGAAAATATACAGTTTTTAGGTTTTAATCTGGGTCGACCCATATGAATTGGGTTTGGGTGGATTTGAGTTGGTTAAATCAGTAATTTTAAAAATAATTAAAAGATAACAATGCAATCTACTTATTTTTGGAAGTAAAAATAAATCAAAACAAAATTCAATTAAGAAAAGGGATATTTGAGATTTGGTTTTAAGTTTGAGGGACATATGAGATGAATCCTCATATACAACCCGAATTATCTGGATTTTCAGATATGAATAAGTTATTTTATTCCTGAGGGTAAGACATCTTCAATAAAATGAAACATTTACATAAAAGACTACTTTTCATGACTTCTAGAGCATTTTTCCCAACTAAAGTATTTTGGATGTATTTTTCCATACTTTTCACATTTGTTTTGTCTATTAAAAACCATGATATATCTTATCTTGTTTTCCAGTTAGACTCCTTGTCTACTCATCATTTTTCTATTTAAACTCTTGTATGATCATTTAAAATAACAACATTCTTTTATCAAACTTTGAGAGTGACTCTCTTTTTGCTCCTTAGGAATATTTCCGATCCTTTGTGTGTAATATCCATTGATCAAAACTTGATCTGTCTTGCTGCGTTATATCCAAGGGGTCCTGTAGATTGTTTGGTGAATTATCTCCATTCAGTCGACTGTAAGTTCGTCTTAGTGTGTCATATCTAAGGGATTCAAGTTGTGGTAAATCAGGAGTTATATTACAACTTCTATGCGGCATTGTGATCCATCTTTCCTTGTTCTTTGAAGTTCATTGGTTCTTAGTTTTAAGTTATATCCATCTTTCATTCGCCAACTAAACAGTGATGCAAAGGAGAGGTTATTAGACCAACGCCCATCTTTCCCGAACCCACACCTAAACCCAAATCCAAGCATGAGTCACTCTTGCTTCGTCCCGGTGCACGCACATGTGGCTTAGCATAGATTCACTCTTCTCTACCGCTGGCTTTAGATACTTTACCTTTTTAGGACTTTTTCATAATACCCATTATTTCATTTTACTCTTTGTAACTAACAATTTTGCACAAACATTTCCCGTTCAAACAAAAATCAATTTTGACATATTAGTATACTCTATTAAATGTTCGTGGTAATGAAATCATCATGCTCATAATCCGTTTAGTCATTCACCCATGAACATGTCTGAAAAGTTGGTTGGAATTAGATTGGTACAACATGTCTTACAATTGAGTTCCAACACATTAGAAGCTTAACTTCAGTTAAGTTTTAAAAAGATAGAGAGGTTTATATGTTGGAGTTGAACTTAAGCTTGGTTATAATTCCACTTACACTTCCTAATATGGTATTTCATAATAACCTTCAAACATGGATGATGTATTCTCTCAAATATTTTAGATTAAATTGCGAAAAACTGTAGAGGATGCAGGACTGAGAAATTCCAGATTAAAAATTACGAATATAAATCGATTGAAATCTCTATATTAAACGATAATATTATATAAAACTATTGAATAAAAACGATTAAGAAAAGAGACGAGTACAAAGAGTCAAGATTTGATATCTTTCCTTAATTCTTTAAGTCTCCTACAGTGTGTCGGTTTTTAAGAGATTCAGAATCCCATGATACAACCGTGTTTAAGATTAGAGTCGCAGTACTCGACTATAGAATATGTAAACTTAACATCTACGTTAAACTCTCGACACTTACCTTAAGATTGTAGAGATGAGAGGGATTTGCTCGGAAAATTTGTTTCAAAGCTTATTGCTTTTCTGGATGACGAATAATGAATGGGAGAGGTCCTTATTTATAGTAGAAGAGAGGCTTGTGGTACAAGGCACTTGCCTTACTAGTCACGAAAGATAAACAGAAATATTTTGAATATCGTTGTTCCTTATTCGATAAGGTTAAGGAAAAAATAGCAATATATTGAAAACCTTCATTCCTTGTTTGACAGAGAAATCTAAAATATTCCAAATATATGTATTCCTTATATTTGACAAGGATAAAGAAATGAAAATATTTCGTAAAATAATTTGACTCAATCAATAAAGATTTATCGATATTATGCAAAATTATAAATGAAAATTGAAAATTTTATTAAATAAGTCAATAAAGATTTATTCAAAAAGAAAAAACTTCTTTTGTGGTTTTGCATAATAGCCTTCATACTACCAATGTGTGACAAATGCATATCTTGACTTTTAGTCTTGATTAGATGTCTACTTTGACCATTGATTACTTATTCAAATTAACTTTAATTTTGACAAGTAATTACACCATCTATAAGTTCTCATTACAAGGATTTCAAAAATTATATAATTGCCAAAATTTAAATTCCAACAATCTTCCACATGAATATAAATTATACTAAACTTAACTGATACAAGAGCTTTTATCTCTTGTGACTCAATTCTTCAAGTATAAAACCATGTCACTAAAGTAAAAGAGATTATCAATCCTTCATGGGGATAGTGTAATGAAGATTTAGAAGTTGAAACAAAACTATGAACAGTCTAAAACATGAAACTTAAACCAAACAATTGCAGTTGTGAAATTCACAAAACAGAGCAATGATGGATGACTTAAACAATGAAAGCGAAATGGTCCCAAGATCGAGAACTGAAGCTAGGATGACTTTTTGAATGACTAATAATGCTCAAACAACATTCCAATGCTAATCCTTAGGCATATAACTTCTAAACAAGATTAATTCACTCCTATGATACTAATCCTTTTGCTAAACATCATATCAAAGCTAACTCCCATTAGTGAAAAGAAAATTACCCAGCATTAAACTTCAGTTCTATAGAGCAAATAAACACCTTAGACAACTAATCCCTTAGGCTAATCATGTAAATCACTTGTTTAATTAATTCAGAAATTTAGAAAAACGCTTTCAATGCTTCAAAATTCCTAGGATCAATAATACCTTTCTCAAGGCCAATCAAGCATTAAGAACATCAAACAAGTAAGGATATGAAACAATTAAACACAAGACATCAAGAATCAATCATCAAATCATCCTAAAATACCACATCTTAAAACCCAAGAAAACTACTCACTAACCATGCTTAGAACCATAAAAGTATGGCTAAACATTATTAGGTGGTGATAAAAAAATTAAGACAAGTACAAAACTTTATCATAATGACCCAAGATCACAACTTGTTCTTGAAGGAAATACAAAAAGGGGAGAGTTTGATGTGATAGAATAATAAAACTTAGATAAAAATAGGTTTTTAGGCCAAGCCTATTTATAGTAGAGCCCTAAAATAAGCATGGTCAACCAAAATAAAACCTAGTCAATGAAATAGTCAACTCTTGGATTGGCCGCACCATGCAGAGCAGAAAGGGACCTGGTTGGTTTACGTGTTTGGTGCGTTTGGAAATACTGCACAAGACGCTTGGCTTGGCGGGTTATTTAACTGGCGTCACGGTTCAGGACGCATCTAGCAGAGCGTGAAAGGTGGTTGTGTCGGTGTACGTGCTTGGTACATCTTGTGTCTTCAGGTATCGAGCATAATCCTTGAGGTACATCGGTCCCTCCATGGTTCGATCACCTTTGAGCAGTTCCCTCGATGTACGGCGGTCCCTCCACAGTGTATTCGCCATCGTGCAGGTTTCTCGGTGCAGAAGACTTTTTGGTCGGCATGAAGTGTACGGAGCAGAACAGAACACACCCTCCGGTGCAGCGGTCCGATATGGCTCGAAATGCCTTGAACAATTATTTTCAGCTTGGCTCTTCTTCTCCATTTCATCCACATTTCTTCTAATGCCCTCCTTGACCCTATAATGACCTGAAATACACTCCA